ACATTGATGCACTAGCAGAGTCTTACTGATATGCTTGGGGGATTTATTGACATCTTCTAACTGGGCAAAGGATTCTCGCTACTGAAGTCCCTTGGCCAATAATGAGGATTATTATGGACTCAGAAATAGGTTTTTGTGCCGGTGCTTTGCCCAGTAACTGATCAACATAACGGAGACTGGTATATTTAGTAATGACTTTAGGCTTTTGAATTTCTTCACTTAGTTCATTCAGGATGCTGAGATGACACATCACAGCAATATCTTTGATCATTTGCAGACTTTCTGTATACCCCAGCACCTTCCTGAAACAGTATAGCAAGTTTGTATTAATGTTGCAGGAGAAGACTTGTGTATTGCAGTATGTATGTTGCATGGCTTTTTTTACTCCTCTGAATTCAGTAGAATGTACTATGAATTAATACAGATTTTAGCTGATTTGAGTCACAAGCACTTTTTAAGAAAGATGTTTGTTTATTAAACCAATAAGTTCTGAATTTACCATCCCTATCCCTCAACAGCTTGCTCAATGACTTTGTTCTGAGTGCACCACAAATTCACATTCAAACACAGTATTAGAATTGAAGGATATAACAGGAGAATGTTGAACAGTGATACTGCTTTCGAGGTACAGGTAGCAACAGCTGTATAATTAGACATTTTACTTAAGCCTATAAAAAAATCTTACTGTTTCTGTCACAGTGGATGTGAGCAGGCAAATTGATGTGCGCGTTATATATTTTAGGCAAAAAGACATGCCTGGAAGATGCTTAAAGATCAAAAGATTGAATTGCTGCTGGGTTGTTCATTTTATGTCATCAGAACAGCCAAGCCAATAAAAATAGGCTTACTTTATCTTGCTCTTTTCATGGCAATTTGTTAATATTAATGAGGTTAGACTAATGACAACCTCTTACAGTTGGAAAAACTGAGTAAGTTAGATTTACAAAGCAGAACTGGATTTTCAGTGCCAACAAACTGCTTTATTTTTGCTCAGATATAAGAAATGTTGTATTATAATATTACAAATTTACCTTTTATTACAAATTGTATTTGTATTACAAATATTATACAGTATTATAGAAATTCCAATACAAAATATTTAATACAAAACCACAGAATTTATACAAAATTTATACAAAATTTATACAAATTTATACAAAATATTAATTTATACAAATTTATACAAATTTATACGAATTTATACAAATTTATACAAAAAATACAAAAAACAAAAGTATAACTGAATTATAATTATACAGAATGTATTAAAAATACACATATTTATGCAAATACATATATTTACGCAAATACAATTTAATTTATACAATTTATACAACTTTATACAAATTATACAAATACAAAATTAATACAAACTTATACAAAATAACAAGTACAAAATTGATATAAATACAAAATATTTGTAAAATATTGTAAAATTCAATATTTTGTATTACAAAATTACCTTCTTCCTTTAATATGGCAGTCTTGGATATAGAACTGATAATAGTTCTAGATTATAGTGGCAGCCCTGAATATGCTATCTGTAGAGCCCAGCACTTGAAAATAAATGGTCCAAATTGTTCAGAAAATTGTATTCAGACGCATGTTATAACTAAGTGATGCAAGCAAATGGCAGCTGTGAAACAACTTTCCTTTATAAGGGAATATAAAACAGCACTGAGCATAAGTAAAGCTTAGCCATATGTTCTGTACTGGTGCCTTTCCAAATATTTCGTGCCCATATCTCTGTCCAAATTTATATTAGCTAGATGTATATATTCTTTTGCTAGTTCTCATAACACTCTGAATATATTGAGGCTGTTGATGGCTAAGTGTCCATTTTTTCTATGTGAATGTTATTATTTTCCTTTAACTGTTATTAAGGACAAGTTTGGTCTCACCTCCGTACTGAGAGCCAAAGAAATCGTATTTACACCTGCAGACACTGATCACAGCCAGTCACCTCTATAACTTTAGAAATATCTTCTGTGCACAAACAAGGCCAAAATAGGAGCAGCTCTGACTCATTTCATCCCCTTCTTCCCTGGACTTGTTCAAAACAGTTGCAGCCTGTTATTACCCCATCAGACAAATTCTGTTTTCCAGGCTGAGCTATCTTTAACCTTTTCCTATCTGTATGTGATGAAGTATATCTCACCCCAGTCTTTCCTCTTCCTAATCCTCCTCCATATCTCCACTATCAGGTTCACCCTAAGAGATACGTCAATCTGCAGTTCCTTCACTGTCAGTAGCTTCTGCCCATTCTGCTCAGCTTCCTTCAGACACTCTTCCGGTGCTCGGCTTTATCTGCCCTTATAGTGCAGATGTTTCTGTGGTAGAGGTTTGATCTTAATCTTTCATGGGCTTTGAAGGACTACTCCGTTAGGGTTGCTCTTCACCGCTTCTTTCAGCCCGTCTCTCATTCCTCCTTTGGACTGATTTCTCCAGAAGTCTTCCTAAAACTTGCTCATTCTTCCTCTGAGGAGGACATTTTCAAGGAATTGCCACAAGTGTTTCTGTCAGAAAGCTTCACAAAGCAATACTTTCAAAGTTGCCTTGTCTGCTGCTCTCAGCAGTGGGCTCTCAGGCAGCCCTCATGGGTCTGCATTGTTCCTTCTGTCCAGCAGCAGATCATGTCACTTTGAAGACGGTCACCTCCAGGATGTGCGCGTTTAGATTTGTTGATAGTAAGTATTGGGTAAGGACGGCAGGTTTAATTGAACTAGTAAGGGCTTTAACCATTCAGGAGGCATATCTGAGCGTCTTCTGCTTGCTTTTTCAACCAGTTTCAACCAGGGTTTCTGGATAGTTTCTGCTCTGCTGTCCAAAGGACTATCCCTCTTTCTGCAGATATCATGGATATTTCTAATCATGCAATATGTTAAGGGGTACCATGTTTTGCACAAAGAGGAATTATGATTACTTCAGGCAAAATAAATGTTACTTTGCTAAATCTCAGCTATGTTAAAGAGACCAAGGGAGTCACAAAACACTGCTGTCTGCTTCAAGAGACATATGGCCAAAGGCCTAATGAATAAAATATGATTATAATTACACAGCAAAAGAAACTAACTTGTATGTTCTCTTGAGGTCAGAAAAGGCATATAGCACTCAGAGCTAACACTGGAAGCGTAAGCACTGACTTTTATGATTTTAATTCCTTAAGAAATGGTTTAGAAGAGGGTCGACTTTGGTCTGCAACCACAGACAAACTAATACTTAATGTTAGCTGAAAAAATGTTAGCTTTTTGAAGATATATTAACCAATCTTTTTCATGTTTTAATTCTGTTCTGCAAACATTCTGAATCTTAGTCAGATTCTGAAGTTGACTCTGTTGATTAACTAAAAAAGTCCATTGAGTTTAGCTTCTTAGAGCAAACTAGAGTCATGCTGAAGTATACCAGCAGGGTCCAGATCTACCATCATCATTCTTTTGGAACAGTGTCCTCAAGTACATCAGGACTGATATAATTCTGAAGGACAGTTTAAAGCACAGCTTGTGAGGACGTGAATAGTGCTGAAAAAACCTTTATCCTGGTGAACTAGACAGAAACTTTTACCTCTCCCCCAGCATGAGACTTGGAGGTAGGACACTGAAGGGCCTGACTGATCAAAACTATTGAGATCCAGTGACCAACTTTGCAAAAGAGCAGAGTTGGTGAACTAATGACACTCTGGGCTGTGGCCATGTCCATCTGTGGCTTGAGGGAGAGGACTTTGTCTCCTCTGATACCATGGTTTGCCTTTCCGTAATGAGAGTCCAGTGCTGGAAGGAACAGAGACAGTTTATATCCCTGCTCTCAGTAAGAACCAAGCCTGCTTACTTTGAGATCTGTCTGGGGTGCTTTTAAGGATCTCCTAGACTTACTTCCTAGAAATTCAGGCTTGTCTGAGCACAGGACTTCTTCCTCTTCCTTGTAGTCAGCCTCAGTTTGATCACTAAGACTCTTTTTAGTCGGTCAATCCATTAGTATTTCTGTTAATCCCTGGTGTTTAGGCTGGAGACTTTTCCTTCTGATGGCAATCCTACGTAATATTAACAAGAAAGAAACATTTTGTTCTGAAGAAAGTTATCATCCTCCTGATTCTTATTATTTTATCCCAGTGAGCACAGTTTGAGCTCCGAATAGTCTTTCTCTTTTTTGCTTCTTAGAGATTTGAGGAATGTGATTCTACTATCGTAGAGATGTTTTTGTTGGGACATTTTGTGCAAGGTTATTCCTGAAACTATGAATCACGCAGTTGTGTCAAAATATATTTTTTTTAAATGATAGCAGTTTGCATAGTATATCTGCATATTGTTGTTTCCAAAACTATGCAGATCAGTGACTCTTGGTTTAGTTACCAAATATTAATAAAATCACACCTATACGAAGCGAAAGCTCCTCTAAATTGCCCGAGTCATCCTTTCTGTTGGCAGTCCATTTTCCTTCCCTTTTCTCTAGAGTTTCTCAGATACCTCTTCTGCCCAAGTTGATTTTTGTTATGTGTTGTGTGTTATGTTAGGGGTCTCTTTACCCCTAAGAGATAGTCATTTACTATTATTAGAGGTCTCATTAGCCCTTTGAGAAAGTGCTATTTGACCATGTATATCATCTGTGGGAAATGCTTTCCTTTTCAGTACTCCAGGATAATCATCCTCTTACTCTGATGACTTCCCAAATCACCATGTAGCACTCGAAATCTTCCCCATCTCCTGACTCCCAATCCAGCATTGTTACTGAATTTCCATTTGCAAATCCTTTGTTCTTGTGTAGAGGTGCAAAGGTACTTTTTCAGTCATTCATTTTACGTTTTGATCCCTGATGGAGCAGAATGGATTTGCCTCAATAAAATGCTATAACAGTTGAGCTTTGATTTCACTTTAAAAAGCCAGCAGGCAGAATCTTTGTTGGCATAAATTCTATTTAAGATACTGGGGATTTATTCCCGCTGAGTATATGTCTCAAAGGCTTTACCATTTCACCCATTTTTAACTTTATTCTGTTTTCTCTTCTAGGGCAACAGGCTTTGGCTTTTTGAATGCACTATGCAAAGCAGCAGCTGTACTTGGAAACTTAATATTTGGTTCCCTTGTTGGTATAACCAAAGCAATCCCTATTCTCCTTGCTTCTACTGTTCTAGTATGTGGAGGTCTGGTAGGACTTCGGCTTCCTGACACAAGAACCCAGGTGTTGATGTAACTGGAAAAAGCCATTTTATTATTTATTTCCTTCTTTGTACAAATGTCAACTCTCCTGACTGATGGTGCAAAGGCTTCAGATTCTCAACACTTAGCAGGGTGCTCAGATGGCGGAAATCAAACACACAATGAGATACTATGGAGTGGCAGAGATTTAGAAACTTGTATATGAAAGTTTTAAATTTCTAAATTTCTTTTTTTTTTTGTTTGCATACTTTGCTATCTAAAACAACTTAACTTCAAACTGCAAAGCTACCTCTTAAACATTTTCAGAGACATGTTCAGGAAGATGAAAATCATGCCATAATTAGATATTTAAAGTGCAATCAGTCATATTATTTAAATATATGTGCTAAATTTGGCCATGGCATTGTGAGCTTCTGTAACAATACAGACCTGCAAGTCAATTACTTACCATTATTAGTGCAGAAAAAGTTAATCTTACATGTATCAATGCATGCAGCATTATCAGGAAACTGTTTTGACTGCATCAGTATTGGGTGACTATATTTAAATGGTAGAAACTTCCTGCATTCTCAGAAAGAGGCAGAGGCAGGCCTTAGCAGTGGCAGTACCTGTTTCTTGGGAAACCATTTTATGTAGATTTGATCTAGAGTAAAGACCATTAGCTGCACCCCATATTTGCTGAGGAGAGGGTAACAGCTACTACAGGGAAGAACAAAGCTCATAATGGTGAGCAAAAAAGAATAATAGAATAAGCACTTTCACTTTTTGCCACTGGTCCTCCAGAAAATATTTGTTTTCTACTAGCTTGTGGGCATCTGCAATATTTTTGTCACTTTAAAACAGTGAATTTGTCTTTCTCCAGAAGTGATTCTCTGAAAACCAATATTTATGTTATTGTAAGTATGAATAAACAGAGAGTCAGGCCAGTGAACTGTATGAAAACTAAGATGCTTTCAGAAAAGTGCTTTTGCTATTTATCCTTTTAATTCGTCATAAAATGGTTATACAAATATGAGGTAATATTGTGCCACCTACTTAATGTAGTTAGGTGAAAGCTTCAACATACAGTATGATTTAATTAAAAACTCTCAAAACAAATGTATTGGTTTTTTTGAAAACAATAGCAAAACAAAGAAAAGCAATAATAAAAACACCTTAATAATTTTCACACGTTATACACTTCATCACATGATCATTTACTCCACTGATTTGTAATGGTTCTCGAGATAGCTCACTATTTAACACTTTCATATATCTCAAGAAGGCCGTTAAGAAAGTGGCCATGCCAAGGCTGTAGGGAGTGGTCGTGTATATATCCCTTCCAAGCCATATGATGTGAACCGTTCTGGATTATAACAAATAGTTCCCTACTAGTCCTACTGGCCTCCGAAAGAGTACTGGATTGCTTCAAAATGTTAGCGTTAAAAATTAAATATAGATATGCCTATAAAATTAGCAGAAAGAAGGGGCAGATCCTCTGATGGCAGGAACTGTCACTGCCTTCAGTGGAGCTAAAAAAATTTGTATCAGCTGATGAACTGTCTGCAGTTTCAAGTTTCAAAGAACAAATGTAGTATAAAACAGAAGGGAAAATTTATCAGTATTTTTTAAAATTATGCCTGACAACTTTTGTCAGGTGGCTGAATCATTGCCAAAGAAATTAGCCTTTCAGGTAAGGTCATCATATAGTAACATATATGCATGAATTGCTTGAATGTTTCTTTCTTTCTCGTATATGAGGATTACTTACTATTGCGTAGTAATATCTGTTACTGCATTCTGTGTGAGTCATCATCACAGTCTTACTAAAAGAGTCAGAAAAAGACAGGCCACATAAGAAGACCATTCATTCATTACATGTAAAGTTAACTATTTTAATGTATTGAGTGTAGAAGTTAAATTTCAGTTATGAACAAATGCTAAACTGTAGCATCAAAATACTAGCCAAGAAAGTGTTTTTCTGATATTAACAAATGAGAAAGGTAGTTAAGTTAAGAAGCACCAGTACTGAAAATTAGTGAGCATGCTTTCATGTTGATAATTTAAATGTGATATAGGAAGAAACAAAGTTTAGGAAGTATGCTTATTTTACAATATGCAGTCCAAATTTTTGAGATAAGATATTTTATATTTAAATCTGATTTAAACATATCTTTTAAATTTCCAAACTATATTCAAAAGAAGAAGAGAGAAAGAATTATTTTTCACCAAGTTCCAAGTTCAGAAGAAAATGCCATACTTAGTTTTGCATCTGTGGCTTTTGTCCACTTGTCACAGTCCTAATATTATTTCAAGGCTGTTTTGCCCAATGAGAATTATATTTGCCTTTGGCCCTGCCTCTCTGTGCCATTCATTAGTAGCATGTGTCCACCTGCTTGTACTTCTGCACATCTTATTTTGAAATCTGAAGCCTCTGTACATGTTTGGAGTGAACATCAACGCAATGGAAAATTATGTTGTCATGCTGTGCACTGTCCACTTGAAGTAGTATGTTCTGTCCACCTCTGTATGTAATACTGAAGAGCAGCCAGATCCAATACATCATGCCGTTTGACCAGTGTGGAGGCAATGGGGCACAGGAAAATAAGGTTCAATTTTTGAAGGCTCTACTTCAGGATTAATATGCTAAAATCTTGCTCCATGTAAAATTATGCTGATTTCAGTACTAGTTCTTATACTAAATCCTGGCCACATCATAAGTATATGGTTAAGTCTGGATATAGTGAAGCTAGCGGCATGAGAGCCCGTGCTTGGAATATAGCAACAGCAGGGAGCAGTAAAGACAAACAAAATGCTGAACAACATGGACTGTGCTTGGTCCAGGATTAGAGTGAGTGCTCCAAGACAGGAAAAGTAATAAAGGAAGAAAGGAGAATAGCAGGTGGGAAAGAGGAGAAAAGTAAACAGAAGAGAAGAACAAAGAGAAAAAATCCTTGAACATTTCTAACATATTAAACAAAACCTAAGGCTAGAATTTCCCCTAGCTGGTGAGCCGGTTGGCTCAACAGGTTTGAGCTAGTGTGTGAGCCAGCATGAAAGCTGTTTGGACAATCGAGTAGTTTGGGCCCGAGTGCAGTAAAGATGTATCCCATAAAGAGAAAAGGAGTGAATGTACTTTCAGGCTAGGAATACGTGGTTACAATCCACAGTTAATCTGTGGAGATCTGAGCCCGAGTGTTACTTAGGTTATAAGGAAAAGCAGTTTGGCTGGTCTCTAGTGAATATGTGTCTTTTTTTTTTTTCCTAGCTTCCAAAGCAATCTCAGGTAATAAATGCTGGACAACAGGAATTTCACTTCCTTTCTATCTCTATTCATTTATATTTCACACAAAGGGTCACTTAGTGGCCTGTTTAGATCCCTGATATCCCTATGATATACAGGTCATTTGCACATACCTTCAAAAGAGAAAGCCATGTACTGCTATATAAGGCAACATAACTACATTGTATACACACAGAGAACCAAACCTGATTGTGTTTGTATATCAGAGCTGTCAAACACATATAATCAGAACTTCCTATTTCTGTTGGGGTCACTGAACTGAGTGACTACTAGTTGGAAACTTCTTTCAGTCTAAATTGAAGGAAGATGCAGGGTCTAGTGGCCTTCTGCTGTAAAGCTTATAGGCTCACCACAGTGGCAACAGTGATGCAAAGTAAAGTGGCCCCTGAAGAGACAGAAGACTAACAGCATTTATTATAGTATTAATCGGCTGGTCAAATATTTTAAAATTTGAAAACTCTCAGCAGAACGTTTCGATTTTTGCCAAAGAAATTTTATTTTCATTAGTTTTATTCATGATAGATTGCTGAGTAGTAGAGCTTGACTTAACAGACCCTCATTTCTTCAAAGCATCTTGTTCACTGTGTTCAGACATTTTAACCCAGTTGGCTATATTCTTGTTAGTACCCTGTCACTTTGAAGCATGCACTACAATATTTGGTATGCCTTGCGCTTATCGCTGAGCGGGGACTGCTAGCAAGCGAATCAGGACTACGTGTTCCTGGTTTCAGGAGTGCTGAAGTGGATTGCTAATCAATGACATGTTGGGAAGCCTTCTCCCTCTATGCCTGATTTCAGTCAGTGCCCTTCCAGAGCTGTATACTGCAACACTTAGCCACAGACGAAAAAGTTGTTAGCCCTCCTTCCTGATGGCTCCAGGAGCCTCCTATTTGCTTATTGTCTTAGGAAGGTGGGACAGCATAAGACTGCTAACTCAAGCTCCGCTGTCTTTCTCTTCATGCTTACCTTTCATTCATTCATCCCACATTGCTTTTCTTACCAGGGGTCCACTTTTAAAGACAGTTACAACTCACTCGTCATGCTCTCAGTTGCTTCTGACTTCATAGTAAAATTCGGTAACAAGGTTTACCACTTACCTTTTGCAGTTAGGTCATCCTTTTGTAAACCAAGGCAGAAAACAAACTAAAAACTCCCTCTTGTGAAGCAGCCAGAGTCCATGTTTCGTTTCATAGCCAGAAGGCTGAACTAATACAAGGAGAAGCCCCCTAACAGAACGACCCTTCTTTGGATCCGTCAGCTGCTGCTGTGTGGTGACTGGAAACAGGGAGGAATCTTCTTGTCTGTGCATCTAGCACAGCTCCATTTGGAGGAAATGTTATAATCTCTTCTCATTTTCTTTTTCTGCCACTCTGGAACCTCAGCTTCATGTAACTGCCTGAGCCTCCTCTTGAGGCACATCCACTCGTTCTGGTTTTTAGCGGTGAAACAGGGCTACGGATAGCCTCTGTGAGCTGGGCTTCAGTCCTCTTCCCCATAGTGAGTTTTAAAATCATCTTCATTAGTCAGAGAGAGATGTTTACATCTGGTCAGACCTCTTGACCCAAACAAGGTAATATCAAGTGAATACAACCTGCATGCCATGCTATCTGTTTAATATTAACCTGGAAATGCAATTGAAATTTCAGTCGCAAGGTTAAAGATGAATGTTTGCACTTAGGGTCAAAGACGCGACGCAAGAAGTGAAAAAAGAGTTGCTCCACTTCCTCCAGAGTCTTGAAGGAAAGCACACATTCCATAATCATATTCCAGAAGAAAACAAGTCTGAGAGGCTGCTTTTCCTCTACATTTCCTGCCTTCCTATTCAATAACCTCACTGTAAGCACTTGCCTGAATTAGTATGTTGCAGTGCTGTTAGTTCAGGAAACACAGCCTGAAGAGAGAGACTTTCGCATGATTGGAGGCAAGACAGGGCTCGTGCAGTGATGTGGAGTTAGCAGAGACTTATTAACCAACGAGTCTGGAACTCATATCAGAACCTGAATTAAATACGAAGCACCAATTTGTAATGCTACTTGCAGGTCTTCTGTAACTTCACCTACTCTAATCCAGTCTACAGCCAGTCCATATACTGAAATCAGCCTGTTGCTTTCTATATCACAGCTCAGTTGTTTTCTTCTAAATTGACAGTTTCAATTAAGTGATTCAAAATATTTTTGAATCACTGTTATTTGCATTCTTTGTATTTGTTGCAGTAGTGAATAACCTACTTCTTTCTGCAAAAGGATACTTCAGTATTTAATCCTACTCTAAATTCTCCTCTTAATTCTAAAATTATTATACAGAACTTCATCCACATTCAGGACCTTTCTTTGATGCAGTGACTTAGCATGTTAGGAATAGGAATAGGCAGAGTAGACTGGACTGGTTTTTCTTGTTTGACCATAGGTCAAATTATCTCCAAAGATACTAGCCAGTAATATGTAGCATGCTTTCTAGGCCAGGGAGGACATCCTTTCTAACTAAAAATGAGTAAAATGATAGCAGCAATTATTGACAGTTCTCCTCCCACTATACACACACAAATTAGGAGAAAAAAAAAAAAAGGAAAAATACAGGTGTAATTGGTTTCTGGGTGTGGAGTTTTAATAATCTCCCCTACCTGAGAAGGGTCGAGAATACATCGCTTACTCCTAACCAGTGCACAGTTCAGCAACCACAGAGAGCAAAGAAGTCTGCAAGGTCTTTGAATGAGGATGATTTGACAAAAAATAATATTGTCCCTGCCCTCCCAGCATATTCATGGCTATACATTTTAATGCCACATAACAGAGGGTCTGTGGGAGTCCTGGAAATACCAGAGGTCTTGCCTGATACACTGGCCTCCAGCACTTCTGTCTGAGCTACAGCTGGGCACAGCAGGCTGCGAGGGAGAGCGCCACGTTGCTGGCAGGCTGGTTCTCGTCACGCTCTCCGCAGCTAGCCACCCAGGCTCGTTTCTCTTGGATCTTAAGCATCTACTTTTTTGCTTCCTCTTTTGCTTTCTACTTTTGAACATCCAACACCTGCCAGTCGGTTTTTGCCAGTAGTCCTGACTAGGCAAGTTTAAGCTACTTGCTACTAATGGGCAGCGCTCATAACTCATTGCAAGTGTAATACTCTGAGTCCAATGTCTTATACGTTGTTCCAGTTTCACCTGTTGCCTATAGCCAGAGTTGTGACCTAGCTGTTCTGATGACACAGCAGGCATGTTTCCTAACCCGTAAAACGTATCTTCTGTACTCTTAATGTCTGCCTTGTAAATATAGGCCTGTCCCCTGCTGGCAATGTGGTAGAAGTTATTTGTGAAGTTCAGGTAGACCTATCTTGCCCAATTAAAAGGTGGATCTTCGAAAGAGGAGTGTGGGGAAAAAAATTATAAAATGGAATCATATTAAATACAAGCCATAAATAGTAAGATTTCAAGGCCTAGGATTCAGTTATTATTAAATTGGGGAGCCATTTTCTTTAAATCCTAACCTGCAGCTATATAATACTGTAGTTTAAAGAAGAGATATTATACAGGTGCAAGTGAAGAGAGAGATGTATATATAGACACATGTGCATGTGGATGAATATACATGCATATACATAAATACATACACACACACACACACACACACATGCCCATACCAGTATATATAACACAGGTGGGTATAAGACTTAGGAACCCTATATCTTAAGTAGATCTCATTCTTGATGTCACTAGTTGTTACTTCCTGAATTGCGCTTTGAATACAAATATCATCCTGCTCATTTCCTTTTACAAAATTATTTACTTATTCATGCAAAAAATTGTTGTGATGCCAAAATTCATCTTAGTTGGCCATTACCTTTATATCATTGGAAGAGAACTCCTGAAATGGTCTGAAAAATAAGCTTTGACTTAGCTGTACCCTTCCCCCAGCCACACTGTGCCAAACAGCAAAACAGCTCGCCATATAGAGGCACTAGTCATGTTCCAGTGACTAGCCGAAAAGCTTTGACACAGCACTCTCAGCAACTCAAAATCCTATAAGTTCTTTTTTTCTTACTCAGAAAAAGTCCTTAAAGATGTTCCATGTGGAGCTCAACTTGCTAGCTTCTGTGTAATGTATGAGAAAATGTCTGTGTCTTCTTTCTGTACTGTATGTTTTTCATTGTTTCTGCACACATAGCTCTGTCGTTCTAGTAATGTGGTTATACAATTGTTTACTGCTCGTCTTATCAGCAATCTTTGACCAGCCTGAAACAGAGCCATTGCCAGGGTGTCTTTCAATTAATGATTAACAGTCACAAAGATCTACTTCAGTAATTAGTGCTGTATAAAGTAATTCCAGCTATAATGCAAGTAAATCCAGGCTTAAAATAGCAGCACATGCACACACACACACTCACACAGAGCAGTGAGGCTGGAGAGAGTTCTTTCAAAAGCTCTGGCATTTATTGCGTTTCTCCTTTCCTAATTTCAAGACGTTCACTCTTTTCAGTGTGCTTCCTCCAGTGGGGGGCATGCACACATGCCACAGAACTAAGGAATCAGCAGAAAAAAGAGTGTATTCCTTTCAGGCGAATTAACAAAGTGTATTTGCTATGGGAAACCTAACTCATTTATAGTGAGATTAAAACCACAATTAAAAGAAACCCAAGCTGCTAACAACTTTTGTTTGTGTTCTGTGAGTAGACAAACTAAATACCAGTCTAAACCAAACTTTGGAAAGAGAGTATAAAAGGGCAGTGGTGCTCATATAATAGTATTTTTGGAAAGTACTGGCGCTTTTCAGAAGGAAAACATGCACTCATTGAGTAATAGAGTAGCATCCAGTTTCTAGTAGTGATCATGAATGGACAGTTTTAAGTAGAAAGTTACTATTTGGATTTAAAGTAACAGTTGGTGATATTACTATCCATATGGAAATTTGTAAACATAGATTAAAACCAATAGTTTTGAAGGAAAAAGAGAATATTAAAATTTGGAGAGAAATCTTACAAAAAACAAACAAAATCCCATTATCCTTTTTGTGTAAACCTTACAGCTCTTTCCTGTTTCTTCCTGCCACAGATCCTTCCTGGTATGGTTGCTGATTCCATCAGCACTTCACTAGTGAAATTGCATTTGCAGCAAAAATGAGAGCAGGTATGAACCTAGTGCTGCAGGAAAGCTAACTTGTTTATAAAGAGCAGAACAAATACACCATGCTGCTAGCAGTTGGGTTTATTGTCTTCCCAGTGTTTTAGTCCTTGATCCTATGAACTGTTGCATGGAAGCAGTGATGTGTGTGTTAGCTGATTCCCGTTTAAATCAGCGGAGTAGTCTGCAGGATCAGGATCTTAACTTTTCTCATTCTAAAAATGAGTGTGTTATGTACTTGATTGTGTATACTATCAGGTTGGAATTTATGAGGTGAGAGAAATATGTTCATTTATCCCCTATTATTTTTTTTCACATGAATAATTTTAGCCTGGTATTTCCCTAAGAATGCAACATGTTTCCTAACCAGTAATTGAGTTTGTAATAGCATCTCATGTTGCATGCCTAATGAATCAACTGATAGCTTATTTTAGCTATTTTATAAAATATGTTGTATTACAATTACAAAATTCCCCAGAAGTGCTGCATAGCCCTCGGCTGCATGACATTGCAACAACTAAATTGTGTCTTGTACTTGGCCTCAAATATATGTGACAATTCAGTGTATGTAAGCTGATTTTTTTAAGTTGGCAGTTTCCTTTGCAGCAAAATAAATATGTGCAAAAATCAGGCATCAAACACTAGGTACTGAAAGTAGAGCTCTTGGCTTCGCTGTAATTTATCAGCATTGTCAGGGTACTGATTTTCTTAAAAACTAGTTAGCATCTTCTAACGCTAAGCAACAGAAGGAAAATGGGTGTTCTTTCCTCGTTTTTTTTTGTGAGCTATATTCTGCTGCCAGTTTCTCCCACTAAACTTCCACTGAAATTGCTAACTGGTCTGAACCAACTGGGAGCAGAATTTGGCAAGCTGTCTTTAGCGTCCAAAAGCACAGGTGTGTTCGTGTGCATCTGTTGTCAAGAAAAATCCTAGATGTTCTCTATTTCTTAATGTGAGAAAACATGTACATATTGTATATACAGTAATGAGATATTTTGAAGTTGAATTCCCATTTATACATATTTACTTTCAGATATACTAATCTGCAACAAGATCTTGGCAATGGTCCTGACCTCTCTGTTTTTTGATTTGTTTGCTTTTTTTACTGCTGCGTGATCTTCTGGTAATGCGGGTTACAGTCATCACTGTTGTATATATGTGCTTGCATGTGTGTGTGCATTGATAAATTTCTCCCTTTCGGACTTCTGAATTTTCCATTTCAAGTCCAGCCAGTACAATTGTGAACTCATCTTTCTAGTATGCTTCTCTGTGTCGGATTGCCAACTACCAAGATATTTGACCAAGTGTTTCAATTAAGTCCCCTGAGGAAAGCTGTCTATATACTTGTGAAAGGGCATGCTCTGTGTAGGATGACTGTGTACAGTATAAATCTATAAAATGTGGAAGTGTTTATAAATTTATCTGCCAAATATTTATCATCCATGTAAGAAATGCAAAGTTATTTAGTGTACATCAGATTAATAAAGGGGCATTTTTTGCTCCACTATATTCAAATAAAGAGTTGTTCTCTGCAATGAATATACATCAGGTGTGCTGATAGCTAGAACATCGTTCTTCACTACCCCCAAAATACGAAAAACTGTCTTAACTAGTTCTTTTTTATGAAGGCTCTGTATGTATTTCATTTTTAGTGCCGGTAATAGAAGTTGAAGACATTTTTTAAAAAATATGGTACAAGTTAATAAAGAAATATAAATGAACACCATAAAAAAAGACAGAGTAAAATATGCTATGGTTGCAAAAGACGAAGTTCCCCTTTAGTTAACCATCTGTGATTCATATTTTTATGGCATATAATTGGACAAATAGACCTCTGGTCTTTCACTACATAACGGCACTGCATGGGTATGTTATCAGCCAAAAGGTCTAATCTAACTCTGTGTGAAAAGCATGCTGGTGCAAGGTATAACAATCTGTGCATCTGAAAGACTGATAGGCATTTATACAGTAAACTATGGTTCCATGAGAGCCTGGCATCCACCAACAGAAAGAACAAAAAAACAAACCAGCCCTGCAACAGCAATATTTCTTTATTGCATTTGTGCTCTAAAAGCCCCAGAAAAGCATCAACTGATCAAATGTGGTAGTTTTAAAATAACAAAAAAAGGTTGAGTTATTTATATTCTGCCATGTGCATGGCTGGATCAGCAATACATTTCCAAATATAGCTTATTCCAAACAGATGATGGAATAAACAAAGCACATGAGCCTCTTCAGCTGTGTCACCAGTAGGGAAAAGTGAGGCTACATGTGAATTTAAGCATTTCTCAACTGTGCAAAGCAGTGTCTGCAAACCCAGCAACCGAGGACATATGTGAATTTGTGACTGTCCTTTGGCAACCAGAGTTCGTTCTATTTGTGGTAGAGCATGAAAATAAAATTCTTTGTTTATTAAGTATTACCAGCAAAAGTAGTAATCCGTGTTAAAAGTGTTCTTAAAATTATGCCCTCAGCTATCTACATCTGAAGGGGGTTGATAGTGTAACTATACTGGTCTCTTCATCTAATGGAGATGAAACTTTTATGCCTGTGTCTCCTAGTCTCCTGATTCAGGGAAGAAATTAAGCTCTTTTGTGCAGAAGATCACAATGCAAAAGGGAGTGTGGGAAAAGAATTGCACATATGCTTCATAAATACCTTACAGAAATTTCATCTGGTCTGCAGAAAACCTTCAGCAGCAAAGGATTCTTGTGTCAACAGGGCTCAGAGCAGTTTTGCAAATGTAGCGCATAATCCTGCAAAGAGGTCATTTCTGCATTTGTCTGAAGAATTTTGCAGACATACCTGTGTCAGCCTGAACTGGAGAAAAATAGACTTCTGGCTAACACAGTTATTCTAGCAAAGGGGTGATGCTTAATTTAGAGCATTAGCTGCTTAATTTAGAGTGGGGGTGTGGGGGTGTGTGTGCACGCGCGTGTGCGCTTACCATTGTATTGTTTGAATGAGCACAAGTACATAGAGACTGTGGGTGCAAATGTAAGAGGAGAAGGCAGCATTTTGTGGAACGTGGCATTGCGTATACCTGACACTGAATGTGAAGATATATCATGTGTCCCCTCCATGTGGTTTGCATTCAACTAGCATGCCAGCTGGGTTTTGATTATTATTTAATCTATTGCAATTATAAAGTTAAGCATATGATACGTCAGGGTGCTGTGAGATCAGTAGCTGATCCAAATCACTCCCTCTCCCCATTAGTCATATTTAGAACTTCTATATACACTTGATGTTGGCAACAAACAAAAAAAAATGGCTCAAAGGTCCCCATAGCCTTTCCTAAGGATCATAAGCTGAACTGAAAATTGTGCCGTTCTGTATGTTTGCTCATGGCATTATATGTAAACTCTCCAAATACTCAGCTGAATCCACTCTTTCTGCAGAAAGCACGTGGATGGATCATGTTACTTCCAGCTCTTGAAGTGGACCAAATTGGTCTGATTGCTACTGCAGGAATGATTTTGTGTTGCTATTGCAGACTAGTATTATATACGCAAAATAGCTTGGGAAGACATCAAGAACCATATTACAGAGAGATCCCTTGCTATTTCATAGAGCTTAAAGAAAGGACCTGACTGCATCAATGTCTATAGCTATTGAGTTACACAAACACAGAGGTTCTTACACTGTGATCCACTATACCACTATTGACTGCACTATGGTGCATGGCCTTCTTCAAAGTGCCCCATGAATTCTGCTCAGGAAGCTGAATGTCATCCCTATGTTGAGACCTGGTGTCAGAAGCTGCAACTATTGCTGCCAGTGATAGTACCTGAACAAAATTTGGAAATGCCTGCACTAATCCATCTAGGCAATGTTTCCAGCCCTGACAGTGAGAAGACGAACCAGTGTCAGTCTTATCAAGCCTTGAGTAACTTCTGTTATCTGTCAGAAAAGCCATGGCACTACAGCACTTCTAACTACAGAATGGAAAATTGTAAAAATATATCTTCAAGCATACCACCCAATGCTGAAAAAAATATGTGTTTAAGAATCATTAGTGGCAAGAACAAAGTGTGAAATGTCTCCTGTAATGACTTAAAGTGTTGGTTAAGTGTGTTAACTAGTTTGGCTGAATTCTGCTCAGATATAGCTTAGGCTATAGATCTAGCCTCAGCTCTTCCACAGGATTGTAAAGGCAATTGGCATTTTTATTAAAAAAAAATATATATGATAACGCACAGACTTGGATCATAGCAAAGCAACACTAATTTCATCAGTGGTTGCCATAGCTCTGAATCGTGGATTTTACAATAGATTGCATCATAACACATTTACTTGTGTTTTTCCTTATTAATCATCCAACACTGAAAGCTCATTAAACAAGGGAAGAAATTTCCTTACTAAAGGAACACATCCAAATATACCTGAGACAAAGGAGAGTATGGGAAGATAAGGATGAGCCATTTTTTGCATTTCTTCTGGACTTTCTTCCTCTCCTCACCCAAGGAACTCCAAACTGAGTTTGGAATTACAGAATTTTCACCTGATTCTTTTAGGTGCTATATCTAAAGCAAAGCCACGTTTTCCCTTCAAGTGTACTCCTGCTAGTGCCTGCCTTTAAACACCTACAACAGTCACAAATTCCAACAGAGAAGGGAAATAATTTTCTTCAGGAACAGGGTGTAAGCTTGCCCATTTGGACTTCAAAGTACTTAATCCTGGGAATCTCAGGGGGCTCTTGACTTTAAATAAAAATATCCTGTGTTTTGCAGCCAGATCAGCTGCTGGACTTTACAGAGGGTAGGAAGGAGAAATCAGATAAAACCAAGAGTAAATCACTTTCAGCTGCCCTGGAAGTGAAGCCATTAGTGGAATCTTGTATTTGTTACGTCATTGAGCTTTGCGTGGCTCTCCTTACACATGACTCCCTTGCAGACTCAGGCTTCTGCCTACACACAGTATTTTGCAGCATTGGTGGAACAACTAGAACATCTGAAAGGAAATCCTACTGTTATGTAGGATTGCCTAGCAGTTAAGATCTTTTTTCCCTAAGTTTATTTCCCATCCAGTAGGTTTGGTGGACCTTAGCGAACTGTTATCTATTAATATGTTCCCATACTATTCCATTCATGATGATAGGATTGCAGAAATGTTTGTTTTGTTAGTCTGTATTAAACTTATATGAGAAAACAAGCTCAGGCTACTTGAGCTCAAGGCTCAGAGTAGCACAGACTACACTGCAGCCCAGTTCTGAGTATGCAGGAGGAGCTTGACTTTGTGGTTTCAGTCTATCTGAAATCAGAGGTTTTTAAAAACTAGAATAAAATGGTGGTTCCATTCAGAAAAAAAGAGGCCACTAGCTATTGCCTTGCTGGTAAAGTTGTTGATGTAGGCCAGAGAACAATAAGATTGAGTTACAGGAATATCAGTATTATATAGTCAGTGTGAACTCCAACCTGTCTTCCACTTCCTTTTCGGTAGGGCTGTTGTACTGTGTTTTGTGAGCTAGAATATATATAAAATGCAAATGGACACAGGGAACCCGGGAAAAAACTGGACTAGACTGGCAAAAGCATATCAGGACTGCTGACTGATCATAAACTAACAAAATAAATAGACGAGAGCACACATCTGTTTAAAAAGTTCTCCGTGACTAAATATATTACTTTGCATTGTTGTCGTTACATGAATGTTGAAATCAAGGAAAAATATGTGTTTGCTTCAACATAGGACCCTCCCTTCCTTCAGGAACATGAATGCTGGCCATGTCGGGGGAGCTAGTTTTATTGCAGAAGCCATGTCTGGTTATTGAAAATACTCAGGTCCACGTTGGTATAGTGCCATTTCCAATCTGACCTGCAGGTGGAGTAGGAAAAATACCTACCAAAAAGGGTCAGGAAAGATCTTATTAACATAAAGCTTGCCTAGAGCTTCAGCTGTATTGCACTGTGCACAGAAGCTGGCTGAGAACCTGAGCTTGCAGGTATGCTTACTGACAGGGAAACATGTACCTCGTAACATGGGCGAGCAAAATATCCTAGGCCAGGGACTAGTTTACCTCTGCCACTCAGGGAGAGATTAACTCACTGACTGAATTGACCAGGCATTTTCAGGAGCTTTGTAATTGCCAGAAAGTTTTGCTCTGGGATGCAGCTTTGCAAATAGCATGATGAAAATCATCTAACAGCAATCAATCACTGAAAAGAGATATTTAACAATTCTACTGGTAAAAAACAAGAGTGATTTCACATGGTTTTTTGCTCCCTTATAACTGGAATTAGCAGTGTGCATTGGTGGGACCTCGAGAAGGGAAGCTGATGAGGACCCCACTCTATCTGTTATTACGTGTCCCTGTATTTGTGTATTGAAAATACACAAATTTGGCTGTTTATCTCCTATCTGCCAACAGTTTACAACTGCCTTTGATCCTACTGTGAAAATGTGAAGTGGAAACTGGAAGTGGTGGAGCCAAAGCAGTAGCCAGGGATCTGGGAACCTCCCTCTGCAGAAGATGGGAGGGTGGCCAAAGTGCTGAATAGCAGGGTCAGGTATAGTCCAAAAATTACAGAACATTATCAGCTT